CGCATCGGCAGTTGAAACAAATGTGTAAGGCAAATACGCATGCAAAGGAAATTCGTCACTTGTAACACAGAAATTCTTTTCCCTTATAGCTGCTGGACCCGAATTGCACTCACTATTTTTTTCAGCACCATTCTTACAATACACATCAGTGGAGGTTGTTGGCTATGTCAGATGCGTTCAGTTGCAGTTTTTGTGAAAAACCAGATTCTTTCGCACAATTAAAACTTCCCCAAACTTTGAAAACTGCGATTGGTTGCCATCATGCCATTAGCCAGTGCGCTGTGTGCATGGAGAACTTTGAAAAAGCAAGACATTTTGTTTGGAGCGCGGCATAAAAATAACTGTTTTCTCACTTATTTCCACTTATGTCTGCATAGCGACTGATAACATTATTCGCTGCAACCATTTTTTGGACAGCAAATATATTTTCAGGCGAAAGTAGATGCAGCTAGCGTAACTTGCCAATTCCTATAAATGGTAGTCTCGGAGAGAGCAATATCGCCTCAAAAATGTTGTCAGCGTTCATAGCACTGGTTTTCATCTTAGAAAACGTCGTTTCTCAAGGTAGGTTTTCTTAGTAAGAACTCTAATAGACAATGATCAACCTCGGAAGTCCTCAAGGCATGCGCTGAAAGCCATCGCAATGGCATAAGAACGCAGGTCTTTCAGGCTCGAAAAACCCTTTCCCGGAGGAAACAGTGGAGTCATTTAAGACTCTCAACATGAGGTACAACGACAAGCTGGTTAGTCTCATTAATGGTTTCACTTGTGTAGCATGGAACCAATCAGATCAATTTATTCACAGACATGGAGTGATGAAGTGGCGAAAAAGGCATTGGAATGGTTGAAATCGCCAGAAAACGTGAAGGATGATGTGATCATTATCAAAGGAAAACAGTTAGCATATGCTTTTTGAATCTTTTTTTTCTATTTTGTGAATGCGCTATTTCAACAGGTATTTCTCAAAAACGGATAGCAAGACGCTGTGGCAGAAAGTGCTGTCAATTCTCGAACACCGCTTTGATCGAAGAAAAAAGGAGGTGAACTGGGCACATTATGTATTGTGGATAACTGCTTTCTATGCGATTTTCGTTTCAAAGCGAGTGTGTTAAGATCGCTCGTCTCCCGGCTGGAACATTGTTTGGATGCAACGGCATCATTGATACAAAATTGAAGAAGAAGGAATCCATTTATACTGCCTGTCTCTACATGAAACCGCAGAAGAGTGCAGCCTCGGAGAATTCCCTACCGAAAGATGCAGAAGAAACTTTCAAGATTCTCAACTCAATGTACAGCGACAACGTGGTTGGTTTCATTAAATACCGATCATTTTGGATACACATGTGGAAACATTCACAGGAATGGAGCGATGAATGGGCGAAAAAGGCACTGGAATGGTTGAAGTCACCTAAAAGCGTGAAAGCTGACTTAGTTATCAAAGGGCAACAGTTCGTACCTTTCGTACCTTTTGCTGTGCTTTTGCAGCATCTTCTTCTTTCAGGAAAATATGTGTGTACTTTAGGTCATTCCCAAAGGATGACAAAAAGGAGCTGTGGGAGAAATTGCTGGCAATCCTCGAACATCGCTTTGGCAAAAAAGCAGATGAAGTGAGGATAAGCATCAAAATGACGTGCAAAGTGTTTCTGCACAATTACTTCGTTTTCAGCGTTTATCTATTGTTTTAAGATCGAGGGCCTCCCTGAGGGCACGATATACGGATGCAACGGTGTCATCGATACAAAGGGAGAGGAAGAATCCATTAACACCGCCTGTCTGTATAAGAAGCCTTGATTCAATCATATTTCTCCTAGCTATTTCTTCTCATAAATTGATAAGTCGAGCAATGAAAGAATTGGCATTGAAAAGAAGATCAAATGATGTTGTTCACAGAAGCAAAC